AGATAGCCCATTGTGTAGCTTTGTGCTTAATTACAAATAAACAAACAAAACTTTTGTGATTTTGATATTTATACTACATTAGTTCAAACCCAATTATATTTTGAAATTGGAGCAGCTAGTCCTGTTACTTTGTACCCAAAAGGCTCAAACCCACATCTTAGAACTTTATTGTTTGGTAAGATTTACATTTACATTAAAATATAAGGTAGTATATACGGTTCACTAGTAACATTACTAGCAGTTCCTAAGCCACCCTATTATAACTGAAGAAGCTAATGACCTTAATTAATTTTGAATTGTTACGCCACAAAGATCATGTATTGAAACAGTATCATTGAACAATATTGTTATTTGATTTCACATGCATGATTACACAGGTCCAAACCAGGTTATCTTTACAGCTAGGATTATATAGTTGTACATTTGGTAGATAAACCACGGAATCAGTCGATGTACCAGTTAAACTGATAATAGTATTACTAACAAGCTATCTAATAACTTTTAAAAGAAAAGTTATGGATTTTGTTGAAGAGTATCATGAGAAAATACTTTTAGCTAAAAGTAATCTCGAACACCCTTAATATTCATTATTTAAAATGTCTTAAATATGTGGAAAACAATCATTTGGATAACTTCTATCGAGACGGAAAGTATACTTTAACACGTTAGAATGCGCAGATAGTCAATCTGCTTTAACGGTTTAACCCAACAACCAACTTCTCACGTTAGAATAAAACATCTAATACCATACGATAAATCTAGCATTGTAACCCGATTTCTCTTGCAAACCGGATATGACGCTTGAAGCTACGAGCGCCACACATGGTACAAATTTGAGAGCAACAACGGTGGGGTGTCAGTAAAATGGCATCGTTGTGTGTGTGGTTGGTGGGTGATGGAAATTGTTTTATTTTACTATGTAGACTTTTTTTCGTGTTTTTATGTACGTTTGTGATAAAGAGCAACGCAATATTATTAAACGGTGAGTCATACTGTTTCATTGTCTTTACTTTTAATATTACTGGAAACATTTGGAATTATTACTTTTGTTTTTTTTAACGTTCATTACGATTACGAACCTGACCCGTTTACTTTATAATATATTATATCTCCGACTGGTACTAATAGTACTGGTAGTGTTTCTGTTATACTAAATTTACTTTGTCGAAACTTCTTGTCCTGTTGTACAATATAGTAGTGTCACACTATAAGTTGTAACTTAAGTGCACAGCTAGTGTTTAATCTTAGTCGTAGAAGTATGAATATATGAAAGCATTTGTGAATTTAGCATTCGCAAAGAATTATACAATAAATAGCACGTGTGGTTATCAATTTGCAACTTAAATTTTATCACTACCAGGGTGAAGTAATTTACATCTTGTAGACTTGGATCAAGTTTCTTTGTTGGGTCAAACAGTTACCATTATCCCTAGACCCAAACATAAAAAACAAAAAGAATATTAACATTATATGCCATTTTTTTAGTAAAAAAAAAAATATTTTAATTCGTTTTAATTTAACACTCGTTTATAGGAGCTGTGTAAATTGTAGTAGTTGTAGTAATTTTATTAACTAAACATAAAATGTGTATCTTTATAAAACGGATGAAGAATGGCTATTAGTTTACCATAATTGTGAATGGCCTGCTCAATCCTCATTGAGGACATACTACATAATCCAAAACACTGATACCACACGTGCACATTCATTGTCGTAATTACAAATAAGTTGCTAATAAAATAATATATTATTAATTACTATATGTAAGTGCACATAATTAAAACCTGAATTTTTAAAGGCAATAAACCAATACCTACATCTTTCTGCAAATATACATTTTGGGATTAGTTAAAAAACAATTTTAAACAAGTTCTGTTTTAATTTACATACACATTTACATAGCCAAAGTTCATAGTTTTCACAATTTTCTAAATAGTGGAATTTAGAAACTGCTTCAGATGTAATTCTGGAATGCAAATTAATTTATTATATATATATATATGTATGCACATATGTATATATAGTAATAACAATAATAATAAATATGCAATTACAAAATGAGAACTTACCATTGTAATGTGTAAGTTGGTGAGAATTGTCAGTAATCACAAAATAATGAAGTGAAAGTATCTTAAAATTTAATCTAAAAACGTTTAGAGACAAAATATACTGTGAAACAAAAATAAAACAAAACTTAGTCATGAGGTGTATATAACTGCATACTGGCATTGAGAATAGTTTGTATTTTCAATCATTCACCAACATGGATAAGAATCTGCTGTGCGACAACAAGTGAACATACTTGAAATTATTAGAGGGCCTGGTTCAGGTGCTTGAACCTAACTACATTGTGTGCAGTCAACTATAGTTACTTAGTAAATAAAAAAAAAAAAAGAAATAAGTAACCCAACTACAGGTAAACCTAAGTAATTACCCAACCATACATAATCAAAAGCATCCCATCCTTCTCCCTTAAATGTGAAGTGAAAAAGAAAAGTACCATGTAACTTATCATAGAAAGAAAATGAATTAAAACAGTTTAAAGTTTAGTAAGTATGGGCAGGCTAAAGTAACCCTCAGTCACCTAGAAGTTAGTCCTTCCTGTCTTATTTTCATTGTATTAAAAAGTAAATAAAGCAGAAAATAAAATCATACTTGTTTTTAATACTATACAACTGAAAAATGAATGCAAGACTGGGAAATAGTCATGTGATAACATGTCTAAACCATCCTTGAATGTGATTAGTGCCAGTTCAAAAGCAAAAATACTCTTTACAGGCGAGTTATATCCTTCAGAATAGAAATGGATTGATTTAGTGTAACATTATATTTACTTGAAAATAATCTCAATTTTGATTATATTGGAAAAAGCCATAACCACTAAATTTGAGTTGTTTTGTATCGTATATAATATTTCTCTGCTATTAGTATTTGGGTTTACCTGTGATTGGGTTGTGTGTCCTCTATTTGATTTTATTCCCACATTTTACTGCAGACAGTGACTGTATTCTGGTTCAGGACATTATGGGTTCAAGCACCTGAACAGGATCTTCTAATAATTTCAGAAATGTTCATTTTTTTGTTATACAGCACATTCCTACCTGTATTGTGTAAAATTGAATAGATTGACTATCTTCAATGTTTTTTTAATGTATCGCCCATGACTAAATAGTTTTTTTGTATGTTTTTCTTTGTGCATTTTTGACTACAATTTGCACACACAGTAATTAAAATGTATAGTGTGTAGTTTAAACATTTTCGCAGTTAATTGGATATATCTATATAAAATAGATTTAGAAAAATCAAAATCAAATTATCAGCCACTGGCTCATTGCAGGATTTATTTAGCAAAGTCGCAATACTTTTAATCAGATTACAAATCTTGCAAAAAAAAATATAAATAATTCTTTTTTTGTAATTTTACATCGAATTCATACAGTATGGTTACAAACTGTTTATTTCATTTACCAAGTTTTAACCATCTTTTTATATCGTGAGCAGTACCTTTGTACTTTACAAATTTCTTGTACAACTAAGATATGTACCCGATGATGACAGAACCTTGTCGAAACGTTGTACATTTGCTGTTATGTTAAACTTATATTAAAGTTTTTCTTCATTACCCATTCAAGTCGTCTCCAAGCATTATAAGATATGTTGTTAGTTCCAGACCCAGCATCTTGAATTTTTTGGGCATCATGACTTATCGTGTATTACCACCACTTGTAAGCAAAAAAAGTTTCCAAGCTAATAAAAGTAAACTTGCAAGTTTATCACCTGTGTACTCAAAGTTTTTTGTTGTTTATCTATTTATTTGAGAATCCAGAAAAATTAAAACAATTGATTCTTTAGAGTAAAAAATTGCATATATTTTTACTGAAACATCTACACACGTATTTTTCTGTATGTTATAATTATATTGTATATAGTCTTTATTGTTCATTCATGAACTTGACTAGTAATGGAGGTAGAAAGGTAAGATAAAAAATTGCTTAATGTGGTTTTTGAAATTTAAAAACCATAATATATGAGATTCTGTTTAACAAATTTCTCTAACATCCCACTTATGTTTGTAATTTTTAAGGCTAATGGGGTAGCAGGGGGAGATGCTGACTTCTTTATTAAATGTCGGAATAGGATAAATAGCATTGTCTATACACTTTTTTTGCAAGCTACACCCCAATCTTCAGTTCATTTAGACATATCCTTATTGTATCAGTGTAGTGATACTTTTAGTCTTCCTTGGAAGTATATAATTAAGAGTAAACATTAATTTTATAACAGGATGTATAAGGGCTTATTTATAATGATCAAAATCAATAATCTTATTTCTATGCGTATAGCAAGACTTTTAAAGTGCTCACCTTTCCAATTGACATATAACAGTAGTGAAATATTTCTGTTACTTTTCTTAATTCTTTTCAAGGCCTATTGTCCTGGTATATTAAGAGTAACAATTAATGTAAGATTTTGCCCTGATGATGGTAACATGTTTACTGAAACTAGTTGGTTGTAAATTATATTAAATAATTTTACTTATTATTGTGCCAAAAATGTCATTTTTACTCTTAATTACTTTTTTTTTGTCCAGTCATTTCTGTGGTGACTGATTAATTTATCACTTGTCAATAAATTGTGCCTGTAATAAATATAAAACAAACTACAGAAATTATTTATGCATAAACAAGTAAAAACTACTTATCTATTGAATATTTCGTTACTTATTTTAAAGAGTTAGGAGTGAAAGCTAAGTAAAATATAAATTTTAACCACACTACATCTGCCATATCCAGTATTGACAAAGCCTTTTGCCCAATATCAAAGCTCATCAAGCTGACTAGGAACAACAGATATAGTAGTGGCTAAATTAATTGTAATTATTATCAAGTTTAAATCATTTATTATTCAGATTTTTAGCTTAAGGATTGTTCTTATTTTTATTTATAAGGATAATCAATAGGACTGGTACCAGAACACAACACTGAGGTATATCACGGGTAACTTAACAATAACTTGATATGTAATGTTATTAATGACTATTCATGTTTGGTCAGACAGAAATGCTCTTATCCAATCTAGAAGGGAACCTGATACACCACAGGATTATTAGAATTGGTATAAATACAATCAAAATACATGCATTCTTAAAAAAAATAGGCAGTAACACTCCAGAATTTCCAGCAACTATAAATAAATTATTTACTTTCCAAATAGTTCATACAGTTAATTTCTAAATGAAAATTTAATTTGGTAAATCCTAACTATCCCCATCAGCTTTCTGCTAATGCTTGTTAAGTTAACTGGCTTATGTAGTGGTCTGTAATTATAAAAGGCTCTATTTTGGCTTAAATTGGGAATTTCCAAACAATCTTTCGGAAAAGTGGTTTAATTTTGTCTCTGTAAAAAACATCCTGGTGGCTTAATATTTAACTTGAAGGCTTATAATGCTAAACTTCAGGATTTGATCTCTATGGTGGGCACAATGCAGATAGCCCACTGTGCAGTTTTATGCTTTAAACAAACAAACCTTTAAAAAGTTAAGACATAATTATCCTTGTTCTGTGAAAGTTTTCAATTTAACATGTCTATGATAAACATCACACTGCGTGTTCCAAGATTGAGATGAATTATAGATATTTTTATATGGTGTGTGAAATTTTTAAGGATGTTGTATTTTTTTTTTCAACTTGAGTATGATGTACATGGTTTTTGGTGCTCGTAAGTTTGCAAGTTTAACAAATAATTGCTATACATGTGCCATATAGTTAGATTTATTTTTATTATCATATGGACTTAAATGTGACTTAATGCACCTGCATTTGAATGACACACGAAAACACGAATGTCCTTCTAAGGATTGCCAACCATCTGTAAATTTGTGGCCAGTTATTAAAAACTAACAAACACTTTTTAACATTGTCTTTAAACAAGTAAGTAGAAAAATTTATTTTAATGATGTCGATAAGAAAAAAAGCCATGGTT